AGCTATGATTTCATAGATAAGTTGTTTGATGTTTGACATATTCCGAGCCGACTTTCTGTTTATTTTAACCATCTAAGAGGCTTAATCATTGAAAATCATTACAAATAAAGGTCTAAACAGACAGTATTAAGGTGCACTATTACAATACACTTCTTATTTCCAGGCTTAGGGTATATTGGTACCTACTACTGTTTCATAGCTCGGAGGTTTGATATATGATATATTCTGACTAGTTTCTCTGTAGATTTGAGCCACTTAACAGGTCTAATCTTTGAATATACTTCATATACTAGGTCTAAAATTAAAGTATTCAATAGAACCCTCTATTAGAAATTCAAAAAAAGATTCGGAATGACATTAACCTCAACATTAGATCTGAATCAGGATTAAAATCCTTCATAGAGCTGAACAAGGAAGACAAGGCTTCATTCTGGTGGTGATACATGACATGGACATGGTCCAAATCTTGCTATACTTCACCCAAGCCCAAAGAATGGGAAATTGGGAGCTTCATCTCAATGCACTTCAATACGTGATCCCTTATTTCATGGCCACCAAAATTATGGAAGGTGGGGCACAGTAAACTTAGAGAAAATGCTCTAACTTACCTGCTGCAGTTGAGCGAGGATTCTTGCATTGACACTATGTGGTTAAAGGCTCTACAAATTCAATCAACCAAGTTGATTGACCACTATGCCAGTATGCTATTGGTTAGAAGGGTGGCAGAATTGTAGGCATAACACAAAGACAATATCTACATTGAATAGATGGGCACCGGGGTATAATCTTAGGTCACACATGTGGAGTCCAAACAAGAATGATGTTTGGACTTGTGTTTTGGCATTCCATAGAGGGGGATGGTAATTTGCAAATCAAAACAAGAATCTGTGGAAGAAGATAAAATATGTGACATGCTGCTGAAGTTTGGCATGTTTTCAGAAGATCCATTACTTAATCTCCAAAGTATATGTACAAAAGGTGTACTCACAGAAACAATCAACAGCCTCGACAGTTTGGCCAATAACAACTGGATGTCTTTGTGTCTTAGAGGTTGATACCAACAGAGTCAAATGAAAGACACAACATTTCTTGATCTACTGAGCAAGCATTAACATTTTCTAAACTATGTGCCTAATCCCAATATAAATGAGCATGAAGTTGTTAGGGCAGACAAGAATGTTTTGCAGAATCTTATCACTGCATATGAAGCTAACAACAGACCTGTGGGCATCAATGAAATAATGAAACATGAGCTGATGTCTTTTCCAATAGCCCTCTCATTGACGAATGAAACATTCAAGCCAACTCAAATGTACTGGTATGGTAAATGGTAAATGGTTTTGAAATGCCACCCGCAATATTTCCGATATATGATCCTTCTTACAAATTAGCATCAATTGCATCTACATCTGAGGATTTGGCTACAGTCTTCAAGGAAGCAAAACTTCAGCAGTGAAGTGTACTGTGCCCCAGCTTGCATACTTTTGGTGGTCATATCTCATGAAAAAGGGGATCATGCATTGAAATACATTAAGATGAAGCTCCCAATTCCCCTTTCTTTGGGCTATGGTGAAGCATAGCAAGATTTGGACCATGTCCATGTACTACTACCAGAATGAAAAGTTATACTTGTCTTCCTTGTCGAAGGATTGTAATTCTGATTTACAAGAGTCATCCAAGATCACATCAATCAGTTGCTTCATTTGATTTCCAGATCGAATGTTGTGGTTAATGTCATTAATGTCTTTTTTGAATTTCCCATATAGGGTCCTATTGGAATAAAAAAAATGCTACTGACTCTGCAAAAAGTCTCATTAACTGAAACATCCAATTCAAAATGTTGTCAAAGTGAGTATACTCCATTTGTTAAGAATTTCTGCCTTAGCTCCAAGAGTAACACAAAAAGGTTAATGGTGATGGGGGGGGGGATTTGTTAAAATAACTTAACATTATTCAGGGAAGAAAACTCCATAAAATGAAGATTTGTATGAATGATTGGTACTTTTTCTCTCACGTCATGCGATTGTCAGGCTGCTTAGAATGAAATTAGCTATGTCTTTCTTGTTCAGCTCTGTGAAGAATTGTATTTCTGATTCAGATCCAATGTTGAGCTTAAGGTCATTCTGAATCTTTTTTGAATTTCTCATAGAGGGTTCTATTGAATACTTTAATTTTAGACCTAGTATATGAAGTATATTCAATGAGTAGACCTGTTAGGTGGTTCAAATCTGCAGAAAAACTAGTCAGAATATGTCATTTATCAAACCTCCGAGCTATGAGACAGTAGTAGGTACCAAAATACTCGAAGCCTCAGTATTCTAATAGTCTACCTTAATACTGTCCGTTTATGCCTTTATTTGTAATGGTTTTGAATGATTAAGCCTCTTAGATGGTTAAAATCACCAGAAGTCAGCTCGGAATATGTCATACATCAAACAACTAATCTATGAAATCATAGCTAGTTCAATTCTGCTCATACCAGTAGAATGATACTCATGGTATACTTGAATCTGATTGATTGCAGACCTATGATTTAAAAATGAATTTTCAATGATAACACCTAAGATTGTTCAAACCACCAGAAAGCCAAGCCAGGATATATCATACATTATTTCTCTAAGCTAGAAAACTAATATGTTCATAAATAAGAAACTATACGGGTCTTCCAAGGGTATACCTATAACTTATCAATTTAAGACATCATATTCCATGAATTTTTAATATTTGAACAAGCTAAAAAGCTTAAATCTTCTAAAAACTTAGCTAAAATAAGTTATATATTTTAGATTTATTCTAAAATGCCAAATATTTGAACACAGAGGGATAAATGTTAAAGCAATAGGGGTCAGTTATAGTCACACATAAAATCAGTCCCAGCTAAAATGTAATTTTTTCTTAAATTCACTAATTTTTTTAAAGGCAATTACAAGAGGAATTACTTTGATTCTTGCAGGTTTGGTATACCAGGTATTAAGCCTTTTTCATGGATTTTTTTAGCATCCATCATTGTCTAATAAAAAAGTCATGACACGTAAAGTAAAAAATGGGTCATAAATTTGCCCCCTGGGGTACATACTTTTTGCTTTTATACAAATTTCTTAGGGGTAATCTGTATCATTCATTCTTCAAATGTTTATTTTATACAATGTCTATTTATTTCACTTACAAAAACCATAAAATCAAAGTTATTTTTGGTTGAACAATTTTTTCTCCCTGATAGGGGTGAATTTTGGGGTTGGAGGACTAACATGGTATTTTAAGGGTTAAAAAATCATATTTCAGCTTGCCAACATGGTTTTTTGGATTCACCATAAAAAGTTACATAAGAAACACTTGTCAGAACACTTTTAACACTAAACGCCTACCACATTTTACAGAGAGACCTTTTGCAGAAAAGCACCCGGTCTAATTACACTTCTATCAAACTGCGAAAAAACAGCTTCAAAAAGAAAAATCAAACACCAAAAATCAAGATATCAAACACTGAAAAAATCGTTCATTGCACGATCCATAATAGCTTCGATGTTCAAGTTTTAGGATTCAAAAAGATTAAGCTAAAAATCCAAATATACATATACATAGACTTTGTATGGAAAACCACGTACCCACGTATAGATCTCCAGATAACTGCAAAAGTCTGATTCAAATTTTATTGTTTTAAAAATAATAATTCAATCTTGGTTAATGCATACTTAGATGTATTAATACACGCACGGTAGCCTATTTATGAATGTGAAATTCGTCTTGTCAAAGATAGATAGACAGGGTCATTAAATAAAGCCAGCATTGTTAATTTGCGTTTTTTTATTGTTTGTCTAAATAGTGACATTCAAAGGCTCGTTCAAAAGGGGAAATCTGAATTTTGAATTTATTGCTGGAGATTTGATAAATGTAATTCTGGTGTTATAAAGGGTTTTTACTTCCTTTATATTAAATAACTGACTACTTCATATTTTGTTTAATTCAAATACTTTATTTTATTATCAAGAGAAATTGTAAGAGTTGTTCATCTTTTAGAAGTTGGGCCTAAACTGATTTAAACATAAGCCTGATGGTCTGTCATGGTCAGTGACCATGACTGACCACTTACATAAATATTTCGCCTTACGGCAAGGAATGTAAATTGAGAGATGGTATCTTTTAATTCAAAACTAACATAAATTTTAACTATACCACTCTCCCGACGTTTAAATCAAACTTCCACGTTTGATCGAAAATACAAACATTTTTACAGAGTAAAAATCAAATATAAAATTACATAAAACTACACAAAATATCACTCATGCATTATGAATATTTTACAAAAAGTTGTAAAATACATATTTGTTTTAAATTTAGTCTAATGAGACTACCGTTTACTCCTTACTTAAAACACACGTGTGTGTAGACATAGAAGTCATAACACTTTACAATTCATAATCAACTTGAGATCATTTTCTTAACGATCTTCTTAACAGTTCTTAACAATAATGTTGTCATTTGTTTATATTAAAATAAAACAATACCTAGGTTCCTCTTTTTTTACATTTAAAAACATCATCGTTAACTATTCCAGTAAAACAAAGCAGTTTACATTGTTGTTCACAATTCCAGTTAAACAATCAACATTTTCATAATCCGACAACCGTTTCATACTTGCCCTATAGCAAAATCTCAAATACAATTATTTTTAACTATACCACTATATTGCATGACAAGAATATTTACGGTTTATACAATTACAATTATGTTCCAGGGGAAGCATGGGCATAACGCAATCATACAAACAACGATTTTACAATCATCTTATACTACAGGTTTACATATACAAAAGATTACATGACAAACATTATCCTTCACCCATATATAAAATATTATGTACATACATCTCGGGTTCTAAAATTAGCAAAACAAAATTGCAAAGGTCTAGTCTCGAGATAAAGATTTAACAAAATGTGGCAGAAATACGCCAAACAATATGTACTACGCGTTTGTACGTATGGTTAACAATTAAATTTCCGGCTGATTAAGGCAAGAAATAAAAATGCTGCATATTTCAAAATCACAAACTCCTGTTTAAATCAATACCTCACCAATACTAGGTAAACTGTGAAAGCATAACAATTTAAATTGAATTGAATGATGCTATCTTCTTCTGTATGCCCTTTGGAACGTTTCCAACTAACCGTACCGTGTGATTCTTAAGGTACAATTTGGTTTCATCATTCAAATTATCGTACGGTTCCCAGGAACATTCATCTTTTGTCATGTTTTTCCATTGTATAAGGTATTCCAAGATACCATTTTTATAGCGACCACGCCATATTTTATCTATTTGGAACAATTCATCTTTGAGATCATTTTCATTATTACTTTCAGATGCCTCATTAGTGTCATTTTCATCATTTTGGATACCTTTCTCTACGTCATCATCTTGCGCTATTTCGCAATTTTTGATTTCATTAGCCCATAATTGATACGATGGTCGTATTTCATCAAAATGTACCGGTGTTTTGAGCTTGGTACCATCTGGTCTTTTCAGATAGTAATTGTTACCGTCCCTCCGAACTATCAAAAATGGACCATGATAATGTTTTGAAGTCAGTTTGAAATTCAGAAACTTCTTCTTGACGGGATAGTGATAGAATACCACTTGATTAGGCACATATTCAATTCGAGTTTCATTTTTTGCTGTACTCGAACGCATGTGTTCTCTACTCATTTCAAGGTTTTTCTGAGCACACTTTTGAGCAAATTCCACATTTGAAGAGATTTCCTTAATAAAGTCACCATATTTATTTGCCTTGGCTTGATCGCCATGACCTAACTCGACATCTACCGGTAAGTTTGCTTCCCTCCCATGATACATGAAAAACGGAGTCATTTTGTGTGATGTATGAGGGGTAACTCTATAGCTGAACATTATCTGAGGTAGAATTTTATCCCAATTATCTTGACCTTCATTGACGTACATGGATATTGCATTATAAAGGTACTCATTGAATCTCTCGGTTAACCCAACCGCTTTATGATTTCTCGGGGCTGCTATTACATGATTAATCTTCAGTAATTCGCACGTATGTTTTGTGATTATCGCGGTAAACGTTCTCCCCCTATCAGAAACAATATTTTCAGGTACACCCCTTTCTGGTACATATTTAGATGATATCAGTTTGGATGTTGTCAAGGCTGTTGTATCTTTGGTTGTGTAACCATGGGGCGAGGGACAACACATGGGAACACGAAAATGATGTAAAACTATAAAACACTGATTTATTTCAAAATATATGCAAATGGAATAAAATATCTGATTTAAAGTGACAATCTAGCTTAAAGTGAATAGCTAGCTTAAAGTGAATAGTTAGCTTAAAGTGAATAGCTAACTTAAAGTGAATAGCTAACTTAAAGTGAATACTATCTAGCTCAAAATGAATATCGAGCTTAAATTGAATACTATCTAGCTTAAAATCTATCTGTCTAAATGACCAAAATCTATCTGCCTAAATGACCAGAATCTATCTGCCTAAATGACCAAAATCTATCTGCCTAAATGACCAGGCCACCCGCTAGGGCACCCACACTTGACCCTAAAATGTAAAGAAATATATTAAGGTACACGTACACCATATACATAAGGTATTCAATACAATGTAATAATCTACAGTTTTACGATAAAACCAGTTAGTGAGAGGGCTGTGGAATTAAAAAGGGCCCTTGTTATGTTTCCAAAATAAACCCTAACACAGTGCTTGATACACTTTATAGATTATAGTTACCATATCAAATATAATGAAATTAAATGGATTTAATAGAACATCACCGTGAAGGTTTACAATAATAAAAATATAAAAGTACCTAAATATATCTCAACAGGGTGGTGAGTATTAGCACTAGAAAGCCCACTGGTAGACCCGTGGCTATAAAATAAGTATGGCAAGATAAGTCATATTACCAAATAGTTGTCACAAATAACAATGTAGGGATACTATCTGTTTATTGACAAAGAATGTAACTTTATGAAATATCTATGCACAAATGCCAAAACTGTCATGACGGTGCAAAATAGAAATACTCAAGTAAATATCTCAAAAAGTATTCAAAATACAAAAATAGTATTTACACTAGGTTGAAGCTAAAGTTATGTGGAATAAAGTAGAAATGACAAATATAATGTTGAAATATTCAAAAAGGGACAAAAAGTGGATAAAATGATGAAATATTCTTACCAGGTCTTGGCCGTTTGAAAGTTGAGGCTAATACTGAAGAAAACATGTGAAGTGTGAATGAAAGTTAAGCTCCCAACAGGGTTTGATTAGCCTATAGAAAACTGTGAAATGAAATATTTAGCCCTCCATAACAGGGTTATAAAAAATACAAAATCCGAATGTCACACACACGCGGACATTGTCATAATTTGTCCCAAATTATCCTTAACATTAGGCTTACCACAGGAATTTAAAAACTTAACTGAAAAACATTAAACTGTCACACACACGTGGGAAAATAACAATATGAAGTACCATTATAAAGGTTTATCCTCCCCTTAATAGCATCCACTACCTAAAATGGTAGTTTATAAAATTATAATCTCATATTACAAAGTAACTGAAAACACCAAACTTTTTATGTGATTTTAATTTTTTTTTTTAAACACGAACTACTTTCAAAATATAAAATTCTCTTTCTTCTTCACTTGTACTTAAAATTACCACATTTAGATACACCCTAAAAAATATACCGCAAAATACACTGCAAAATCAGAGGGTTGCGATTTTTTGAATGCTGCGCAAAGGGTATCTATGTTTTCTTCCTTCATTATCATCTTCATCTTTGTCACCATTTTCATCTCTCATGTTTGGTGGCAATTCTTTAATGTCTTTCCTATTTACACATTTGGTAACGGATTCATCATCAGCTTGTTTTATTGTATAGACGTCATCTTTCTTTGATACTATTTCATAAATTTCTTCTTCATACGAGTCTTGTATTTTGTTCCTTCCACTTATTCGTTTCCTGTTTAATACTTTGCTTCCCACGTTTAGGTCATCTGTCCTTGATTTCTTATCATGAAGATCCTTTCTTCTATCAGCTTCTGTCTCTATTCTTTTTAAGGCTATTTGGTTCGCGTCTTGTAGCTTCTGTTTGTGTTGTTTAATCCAATCCTCATCTTCGTCCGTTTCTCCTTCACTGACATCAAGTTGAATGCAGATAGGTAGTCTTGGATGTCTCCCAAACATTAAGTAGAAGGGTGAGTACCCTGTAGTGCTATGTGGTGTGATGTTGTAGCAGTATGTGAGTTCTCGAATGTATTCTGGCCACTTCCTTTTCTTATCTTGTTCTAAAGTTGTAAGAAGTGAATGTAGTGTTCTATTGTAACGTTCACACTGTCCATTACCTTCTGGGTGGTAGGGAGTAGTCCTAGATTTCTTGATGTTGTATGTCTTACACAGACACTTGATTACATTGCTTTCAAAATTACGTCCTTGGTCACTGTGAAAACGTTTTGGTACACCATACACTTGTATAAAGGATTTCAGCAAGACTTTAGCCACTGTTTCTGCCTTTTGATCTTTTGTTGGCTCGGTTACCGTCAATTTGGTAAAAGCATCGGTGATGACTAAGACATTCTCCATGCCATTGGAAGCTTTCTCGAGCAACGTGAAGTCAAGAAACACTAGATCCAAAGGTATTTTTGCTGTTAATCGTCCTAGAGGTGTCACGATCTTGTGGTATGGTAACTTACCAAAGACACATCGACTACAATTCTTGATCCAATCGATTACATCATTGTGGATTTCTGTCCAGTAGAATCTTTGTCGAATAAGTTTCTCAGTTCTCTCTATTCCTTGGTGTCCAGTGTAATCATGTAGACTTTTCAGCACTTCTTCCCTTAGCACTTCTGGCACAACAGCTTGCATTATGGCTCTGTCATTATCATGCGATTTTCTGTAAAGTATGTTGTTGTATATTGAGAGATTCTTCAGCTGTAGCACAAGTTTTCTTTGACTCTTGGTTAACTTCTTTATGACTTTGTTTGTAGGTTTGTACTTTGTCTTTACCATTTCTGTGACTAGTGATATATCTTTGTCTTTCTCTTGTAGTTCTCTAAAACCTTCTTTTGTTATACTTGGTAGAAGTGTTGTTTCAGCTGGTGCGATTTCTGCTTCTATTGACATCACATTCGAACGAGTATGTTTCAGCTCACAAGATAGATCAGGGATTTGTGTTGTTTTTGTTAAATGTCCAATGACACTCATGGCGCTCACTTCAAATTGTTCTTCTTTATCGTCTTCTTCCTCATCTGAGCTATGTTCGAGTCTCGATAAGATGTCTGCTGCAACATTGGTTGAGCCTGGCTTGTATTTGATTTCGAAATTGAAAGAGGCAAGATCTGATACCCAGCGCTGTTCTACTGCAGGCAGTTTCTTTTTGTACATGATGTATGTCAGAGGATTGTTGTCTGTGAAAACAGTAAATGTAGAACCAAGCAGGTAATCTCTGAACTTCTCTGTGATAGCCCACTTCAGTGCTAGTAGTTCAAGTTTCTTTGAAGAATAATTTTTCATGTTCTTTTCTGAACCTCTCAGGGATCTGCTTCCATAACTGATGACTCGGAGTTTACCATTCTGGAGTTGTTGCAATTCAGCGCCAAGTCCTGATGATGATGCGTCTGTTTCTAGGGTAAAGGGTTTAGAATAGTCGGCAAATGCGAGTACTGGAGCTGTGGATAACATCTTCTTCAATTCATCTTGAGTTTCCGAGCACTCATTTGTCCACAGTTTTTCTATATTCTCTGTTTTCTTTTGTGTTCTCTTTGTTACTTTCTGAACTAGGTTATGGAGTGGTTGAGCTATGCTGGCATAACCTTTCACAAATCTTCTATGGTAACCAGCCATCCCTAAAAATTGTCGTAGATCTTTCAATGTTTTTGGTCGTTTCCAGTTAACAATCACCTTTATTTTCTCTGGGTCTGGTTCAATACCTTCTTTGGATATTCTGTAGCCTAGATATGTAACTTTCTTCTTGAAGAAGTCACATTTTCTTAGTTCAAGTTTCAGGTTGTAGTTTTGTAGGATTGAAAATACTTTTTCAAGTCTTTCGATCATTTCATCTACTGTGGAAGAGAAAACCAGGATGTCATCGAGGTAGACTAGTAGTGACTTGAACATCTCGTCTTTGAAGGCCATAGTCATTAACCGTTGATACGTCGCTGGTGCGTTACAGAGTCCAAATGGCATTCGAAGATATTCAAAAATTCCAAGAGGTGTTGTGAAGCTAGTTTTGTGTATGTCTTCCTCTGCAACTTTTATCTGGTGGTAAGCGCTCTGGAGGTCGAGGCTGGAGAACCACTCTGCGTTGATCAGTGCATCCATGCTCTCTTGAATTCTTGGAAGGGGAAAAACATCTTTCTTTGTATTGTTGTTCAGGTTTCTGTAGTCAACGCAAAGTCTTAAAGAATTATTTTTCTTCCTCACTATGACTATAGGACTGGCAAAGTTGCTCTCACTTGGTTGTATAATCTTCTTTTGGACTAAAGTGTCTATATGTTCTTTCAGTTCTTGGAATATGGCTGGCGGTATTCTTCGATATGGTTCATTTACAACAAATCCTTCAGGAGTTGGTATTTTATGGACTATTGCATCTGTGTATCCTAAGTCATTCTCATCGGATCCAAATATGTTGTGATATTTCTTGAAAAGTTCTACTGTCTTGTTATGCTCCACTTCATTTCCTGGGAAATCTTTCAAAATTTTTTCAATTTGATCATTTACATGTTGTG